AAACAGCTTCTTGAATCAGTTGTGTAAAAAACAGAGTAAGGAAAAAATACTCTTGGCAAATCAGGAAAAACAAACATGAACCTCAGGCTATAGCTGCTGTGCATTTCTGAGGTAGACTGGGAGAGGGAACAAGCTCAAGAAAAAAAGCACACCTTTAATCCCAGCACTAGGAGGGACAGACAGGAGGATCGCTGTGAGTTCCAGGACAGCCTCCAAAGCTACAGAGAAACCCTGTCCAGCAAAACAAAAATAAATAAATAAATAATAAGAAAAGAAAGATTGAGGCCCCAGGCAGTGGTGACACACACCTTTAATCCCAGCACTTGGGAGGCAAAGGCAGGCAGATCTACAGAGAGTTCCAGGACAGCCAAGGATACATAGAGAGGCTTCGTCTCCAGAAATGAGAGAGAGAGAGAGATGTAGTGAGGTAGTCCTTCTGTAGCACTGACCACGCCCATTGGGGGGTGGAGCTATGGGCGGAGGTGACCTGAGGAAGGAGGTCGGAAGGGGCCAGAAGGCGCTTCTTTCTGGCGTGACTCGGACAGGAGAGGATCGGGTTGAATTTCCTGGTGTTCATCTGTCTAGGTTGTAAGTTATTTCTCCCTGAATAAACATCTATTCGGCCTATTTGTTTATCCTGACCCTTATTTACCGCAATAGAGAGAGAGAGAGAGACAGAGAGAGAGAGAGAGAGACAGAGACAGAGAGAGAGAGAGAGAGAGACAGAGAGAGAGAGAAAATCAGGCAGGGCCAAAAAGATGGCTCATCAGGTAGAGGTGCTTGCCACCAAACCATACAACCTGAGTCTGATACCTGGGACACACATGATGGAAGAGATCAATTTCTGCATGTTGTCCTGCCTTCTACATGTGTTATGTGACACAGCTGGGAACTAACAAACACAGTCTGTCAAACACACACACAATTTTTTTTTAAGTTCTTTAAAGAAGGTGGCAAGATGGCTCAGCAGGTAAAGGCACTTACCATCAAGCCTAATGGCTTACCCTGGAACCCACAGGGTGGAAGGAAAGAACTGACTCCCTTAGATGTCCTCCGACCTCCACTCATGGCTTGACCCGCCTCCCCCAAGAATAAATGTAATTTTAAAAAGGAAGGCAGAACAAAGGATGTGAGAATGTGAAGAGCTGCATGTTCTGAAGCCTTTCCTATAGTATCAGGTATCAGAACAAAGCAAGACTGCTGAAACAGAAAAAAATATCCTAGGATCTATGCTATAGCATTCCACTCTAGCTCATATCTCTACTATATCAAAATATGTCTTTATCAGAACCATCCAATTATGTATCCCCAGTTTAAGACTATGTGTAGGGCCTGCATGGACCCCTGAGATACCTTGAGCAAGCCTGAAGCTGTTGGCTGGAACATCTTGCACCAGAATAGTTCTTGGTTCTCTTGATTTGCTAACACAAACCAATGCTGGGGAGGAGCTAAGCCCAAGAGCTTTCACTCTTGACCCTTGATTGTTTTCCACTGTGCTGGAGTCAGTAGATAAGCCTTCTCCTTCCCCTCAATAAATGGCATTCAGCATTTGGCATCCCACCATTCCTGTTGCATGAATGACCGGCTGTCTTGACTTTTATTTAAATCTCTAGGCCTTCGATTACTGGAACAGATTGTAGTGCAGGCGCTACAAGTAGAGGTCCCACCAAGAACGTGAAGAAAGGATCACCTAAGAGATTGCCCTCAGAGGGCGGCCAGCCAAGTAAGTAAATGAGGGTGTATTGAAGGATGAGTGCCAGTAACTCTAAGGACATTCTCCGTGGGCAATTAGTGGCCCTATTGAAAAGACAGGGCACCTGGATTAAAAATTAAGACAGCTAAAACATTCATTGCCATATCAGAAAAGCACAGTCCCTGGTTTATGTACTCTGGAGGCTTAAACATCCCTGATTGGGAACGGGTAAAAGGAGATCTCAAAAAGGAGAGGAGCCTGATACTTTCTCTATTGTTACCTTTTCCCTTTAGAGATCTCAAAAAGGAGAGGAACCTGATACTTTCCCTATTGTTACCTTTTCCCTAGTTAAAGATGTGCTCCTGGGCAACAATGTTAAAGTAAAAGAACAAATGGCAGAGATGAATAAGACTTTTGAAGAAGTACAAGATTTAAAATCTGTGAACAAGAGAGATTGCAACTAGGAGATAATAGTCATGCTGTAACTGCTGAAGAAGATACTTTGAAACAGAAATTGAACAATTAAATTTCTGAAGCTGATGAGTGCAAATGCCATCCGCTGCAGCACAGCCCCTTTTCTTGTGATCCCTTTAGTAGGGCCTCTGCACTGCGAGGGATAGAGGAGGAGGTCAAAGATTTAATAACCAAGGTAGAAGCATTAGGAAAGGAAAGACAAGCTTTTCCTGTGATTGAGGCAGTGGATCCTCGGGATAACAGGCTTAGGGAGCACAACCCACTAAATTTCAAGGATATAAAACAACTTGAGACTGTCACTGCTTATGGCCCCCATATTCCTTTCACTCAGGCAATTTGAGTCTTTCTCTGCGTTTTGCACCCCTACTGATTGGATGCAGCTCTATAGAACCATGCTGAGTGGGGTTCAGATGCTAGCTAGCCATTACCTTTTCTCAGAAGGTTCTCAGATGCTCATAGGTGTGGCCCTTTTTCTGACCACTAATTATAGTTTGGGTACAGCAGCTATAAAATTACACTTTGGTCCAAAAGATAAGAATTTCACCTTCGTTTCAGGCACTTGTGTTCTGGCTCCCTTCTTTTTCATTGTAACTAATGCTACTAATTTTGGAGGAAGTCTCAATTGTTCTCAGCAGGTCTGCCAAGGTTAGCTGCTAGATGTATGAAACAACAGCTGTCATAGATCGTGTACCTGGGGTGGAGACCTCCTCTACAAATGACCAACTTGTGCAGCATAAAGGAAAGGAGATTTTGGGATCACGTCTGTGATTGTGCACTGCAGCAACAGTTTCAAGGGATAGCCCTCTCCCAATCTGTAATACTGCAAGCACAGTGGATAAACTATCAGGTGAAGTGGCTGATCCCTTAGCCACCCAAAACACACTCAATATTCTAGTGATAACTGGCATTTTAAAACTAGCCTCCTATAGGAACAATTGGATTTATTGTGGGAGGCCCACATGGCTTCTTCTCTCTTTCACACATAGTTGTGTTATACCCGCTGAAGCTAAGAATGTATTAGTGGTAGTTAGGTTTCTCCAAGGGTCCTGGAGTGATCAGTTTTTAAATTATACACATGCTTTAGAATGCAGATCATTAACATCAGTGAAACCCAAATACCACCTGCCAGTGCAGAAGACCTTTTACGAGGATTTCAACTGGCTAACAGATTAGAGAATGGGCAAGCTCTCTCTCACTGGGGCTCATAGCCCTTGCCCTTGGTGATATCTGCCTACACTGCCATAGCATTAGACAGGCCCAGGCCAACTTTCAAACAAGACAGATTCTATTGTCTTTGGCTCAAGAGAAAACGCCTCTGCCCAAGGGCCAAGTATGGCTGAATTTACAGATGAACTAATCACCAGAAATTGGTAAGGCAGAAGGGGGCACATAACCAACCTAAGACAGGATGGTTATGGGCCTGGGTGACGTCTCCAATGACAGGTAAGGAATTATCCTGATGCCCTCTGCCGCCTAAGACAGGTGTTAGTTTATATTAAAAGAAAGGGGGACCTGTAGGGCCCTTTGTAAACCCCCAAGGCACCTTGAGCAAACCTGAAGCCGTTGGCTGGAGCATCTTGCACCAGAGTAGTTCTTGGTTCTCTTCTTGATTTGCTAACACAAACCAATGCTGGGGAGGAACTAAGCCTGAGAGCTTTCACTCTTGACCCTTGTTTTCCACTGTGCTGTGAGTCAGTATATAAGCCTGCTCCTTTCCCTCAATAAATGGCATTCAGCATTCCAGCATTCCTGTTGCACGAATGACCCGCTGTCTTGTCTTTTATTTAAATCTCTATGCCTTCGCCCGATTAGTGGAACAGACTCTAGCGCCGGTGCTACAACTCTGTGCTGTGATCATAAATAGAAGGCATCAATTAACTAGTAGGGAACCAAAAAGTCTACTAAAGAATGTATTTCAAAAAGTTAAAACACAAGCTGAGCAGTGGTGGCACACGCCTGTAATACCAGCACTCCTGAGTCAGAGACCAGCCTGGTTTACAGAGTGAGTTCCAGGACAGCCAGGACTGTTTCATAGAGAAAGCCTGTCTTGAAAAAAACAATAAAGCAAAAGGTTAAAACACAAGGGACTAGAGAAATGGACCAGCAGTTAAGAACACTCTTCCATGACCCAAGTTTGATAACCAGCACCCATGTCAGGCACCTTAACAACCACCTAGAATTCCAGCTTTAGAGGCACCCTAAGCCTCTGGCCTCCAAGGGCACCTGCATTCATGCACACAAACACACACTTAAAAATAAAAATCAATCTTTAAAGAAGGAAAATAGAAATGCAGGAATGCATCACGACTTGATGTGAACCAAATCTGGTTTCACACTCTAATACATACCTGGTAGAGTTCTTCCAAATTGTACTTAATTGAAGTACTATTCTGGATAGCTTCCACTGCTTCTTTAAGCTTCTGCCATGTCTCATCTGTATAGTTTTCTGGTAATTTAGGCTTATCTACATATGCAAAAAATTAGAAAAATATTCAGAATTCAGTAACTAAAGAACCATAAAATAGGACAGTATTGCTATTTTAGGATCTTCCTCAATACTAAAGTAACCATGGTATCTAAAAGTTCAATATAAACAAAATTTAAGATGCCAAAATACTATTAAGTCATTTTGACTTACCCATGAAAATCAGGTTTTTTTCTTCCTATTGATTGTATTGTTTCAAAAATAAAAATTTAAGAATGACAGAAAAAATAGCAGTCCTGATCTGGTTTTAGCATGTATGAAACCAAAGTTGAAAAGAATCCTCTAGAGATTTCACATACTATGGACTATGTGAAAAGTATTTTAGAAACTTCTTAGAAATCATCCCCCACAATAAAACACCCACAGTGAATAGTAACACCTCTATTGTACAACTTAAGAAACTGAGCCTGGAACTTATTGCTAAGCTTGCCCAAGGTCACCATAGCTAGTCAATGGCAAAGCTGGGATTCCAATCCAGGTCTGTTTCCCTCCCTAATGCAGCCATCACAGAAACAGAGAACATTTCTTGGTCTTAAAGGAAAGGAATGAAAATTTAAAAAACAACACCCAAATGACTCCAGAACCTATGCAGCATTTTCAGAACAGAAGGAAATCTTAATCTAGAGTTTAAACTTCATTCACCAGCAATATGTAAAACTAAAGAGTCCAAACGCCTTAATGCCTTCAGGAGAAAGAAAAATTGTCTCTGAAATCAATTTGCAAGTTCAATTAGAATCACAGCTCATTTCTTGAAAAATCCTTCCCTATTAAATTGGATTCCTTTAAGTGAAGTAATGAATGAATTTGTAAATACAGTTCATATTCACTTTAGAAAGCTACTAGTAAATCAGAAAGTAACCCTCAAGAGCTTAAGGGTAGAAAAAGGGTTAAAAATAGACAATACTATAAGCCCCATTCGTGAGACAAATAGCACATTGCCCTTTTCCACACCAACATTTCACACACAAGCAAAGAGTAACCAATTCTCCCCATTCATTCACTCCTCCACTTTAATAAACACTCTAATACCTATTACTCCCTAGCTGAGAATGGTGAAAAAATAATCAGAAAAACAAACGCATTCAACAGAAAAGAACTTAGGTCAAATAAATTTTAAATGCTGTTTATATTTTCACTGGTGCAAACATCACACTCCCAATTAGCAATTCAAGCACAGTATGCACAAATTTTCTAATAGCTGCAGGTCAATACTTGAAATGCCCCTTTTACTGAGGAAAAGACGTAGTTCACTGTTTCCATCTTTAGACTACTTCTGTGAATAATCAGTAGTTTTCATTTTCAGACATTACCTTTGGGAAGAAATGCAGACCCCCAAAAGGTTTTTCACCCTATATTCCTTCCACGGTGAGTTTCACAAATACAGTACTCTACTAAGAACCTAACTATAAATCTCATTTAAACAGAAAACGATCAACCTTGGTACCTGCATTTTTAGGGACTGGAGTATGTGGCCTATAAAAATAAAAATCTCAGTCGTGCCAAGAATTACTATGCACCTGAAATATACCTCTTTAGAAGACAAGTTTCTCACCTGTAAAATCCGGATCAATCATACTGCCGATGTTTTAAGAAACAACAGATTAGATACAATGTATTGAGGCAGACCTCAAAAAAACATTGTACCCAAACACTAAAGAGTGCTTCAGAGCAAGGACACAAACACGCCAGAAAAAGAACCCTCCACCAAAAAATAGGACCTCACTTCCACTTACTGATTATGCATAAAATATTAGGCTACCTCTATACTGTTTGATATATTAACATAAATAGCGCATGTGACTATTCAAGTGTCTAAATCTTAGTAGGTGATTATGGATTTTGGCTTTGGTTACCTTTAAAGTTCTTGATCACTAACTTCTTAGCCGAGCCAGGCTTGCTGTTAGCAAAGCTCGAGGCCGTGGTGGATGATTTGGCCAGGCCGTTTGCATGGTGCACTGAAGCCACAGAAGAAATTAATAGACTCTTATTTTTAAGTTGCTGCTGCTGCTGCTGCTGCTGCTGCTGCTGCGAGGTTGCAGCGGTTGGCGAAGATGAAGAAGATGAGGAGGAGGATTCCTCAGCCATTTTCGTATCAAACCCTACAAACTCCAGGGTGTCTTCAAAACGCAGCTTCTTCTGGATTGGTACGTGGCTGGCAGTGGCCACTGGAACCCCGAGGCAGAAGGACGAGGTTGAAGGGGACGCTGAATCTCTAGCTTGAGGAGGGGTGGAAGAGGAAGAGGTGGAATCAAAGTCTTCTCTCTCGTTACTACTGTTACTGCTGCTACTGCTGCTGCTGTTTAACTTTCTCTTCTTGGCAGAGGTGGGCGGAGTGGTGCTGGTATTACCATCAGTGGCAGATCTGACCTCCTGAGCAGCAGCAGCAGCAGCAGCAGAGGGATTGGGGGAAGAAAAACCTGTTGGAAACATGAAAATAGCGGGGTCAACAGGCAGAGGAGCATCAAAAACCTACGTGTATGCGCCTGCGTGCGTGGAGGAGAGGTGGTAACGCTAGAGGGGGAAGGGAAGAAAGAGAGGAGAAACACAGAGGACGAGAAGGAACGTGGGGGGAGCACACGGGGGGGGGATGGGAGGGCTCGGGAAGGCAGATAGGCTGACACCAGCAATCAGGAGAATGAGGCAGGGGGGGGGAGCGAAGGAGGCGGACAGGTAAATGGCCTTGCCGTCCCCCCTCCCCTGCTTTTCGGCCTCTCTCCCCCACTTTCTGCTGGAGAGACTCAGGGAGCCAGGGAAGCCTGCAGCTCCTCCTCCTTTTCTCCCTCTCTCGGGGAGGGGAGACGCAGGGCTGGAGGGGGGGGGGAGGGGGAGCGAGCCAAGGCTTGTTATTGTCAATAGCACAAGAGGCTAAAGATGGCGCCACTTCCGATCACGCGACGCCCGTGGAGAGGCGGCGTCACCCTCGCGAGTGGGGGGTGGAGAGGAGGACCCGAGCGGGCCCGGAGGCGGGGGCGCCGGCTCACCGCGGGGCGACCGGAGCCGCCAGGGACGCTCGCACCGGGGAGCTCGCTCGATCTCCCGCTGCTCCCGCACCCCTTCCCTGCCAGCACCCGCCTCACCGGGGCTCCCTCACCGCAGCCACCCCCTTCCTTAGGGAACCCGCGGGGAGCTCCGTGCCCTAGCGTACTCACCGGAAGTGCCTGGGCAGACACTTTTCATAGCTCCCAGATCCTGAAGCCCCCGGGTCCGCCGGACTTGAGGTGGGGGGGTTGGGGGAGGGAACACGGGGGGTAAAAGAGGTGGATAGGGAGGACAGGGCGGGCCTTGGCGACACCTTCGGCGCTCTTGATTGGAGGTTTCTGAACCTGAGGAAGGCGGGGAGATAGGGGTAGGGGGAATGGGAGAAGAAGCGGGAAGTCTCCTGTGAGGCAGAGTAGGTGGTGCGTGCAAGAGGCGGGGTCAGCTAGCTGGGAAAAGAGGGGGGTGGGAAGAAAAAAGTAAGGGAAGGGAAACTTTGAAAGAGAAAAGGGCCTGGGGAGTTAGTTGCAAGGCCTTGGGAGTAACCCGAAATAAGAAGGAAACCTAGGCATACCTCCTGCTAGAGAGGAGTATGGCTACCATCAGAGAATGGAGAAAGCTTAGGAGGAGAGTTTTTTTCGACTCGGTGGAGCAAGGCATTTCTCATTTTTGTCAGTGACACAACATCCCACAGGGCCCTCGTTTTCATTGTCACAGTAGTAACAGCTGTAAATCCTGTTACATTTTTTCCACCTTGAGCATTTTCTAAGATGGCTGGCGAGAGTAGGGATACATTCGAAGGTCAAATAACAACCCCTCCCAGCACAATTTTAGGGTCCGCCCGACCTCACACATTATCAGTCAGTAAATCAGTAATTTGAGGACCCAATAAAGCTGAGACCTACTTCCTTCATTTACCAATTCTCAGTTTAGTAGCAGTATTGACAAATGTCTGTTTCTTTACTAGTGTGTCCCTTGAGACCAAGTTTGTTTTTTGTTCTTGGATTTTTATGTTTGGTTGGTTTTGTTTTTTGGGGGGGGGGGTTGTGGGGTTGGTTTTTTTGTTGTTTTTCCACACAGGGTTTCTCTGTGTAGCCCTAGCTGTCCTGGAACTCACTCTGTACACCAGGGTGACCTCAAACTCACAGAGATTCTCCTGCTTCTGCCTCTCAAATGCTGGTGTGTGTCTCCACCGCCTATTCTGACGAGTAAGGCCACACTGTCGTGTCCTGAAAAGCCCTTAACATGCATATTCTCCTGAAAAGTTGCCATCTTAAACTGAGGATAATAGCTCACACTTACCTTCCTGGCACTAGAGAGGCTGAGGCAGGAGGATTGCCTTGAGTTCAAGCCCAGACTGGATTAAAAAGCCTTTGTCAAAGAAAAGCAAACTGCTCACCAAGCTGAAAAGCTCTAATGGAATTTTGGCCCCAGGGCCATGAAAGAAAAAAGACCATAAAAGTAGAAAAAGAAGTCGACCTGAAAGGTGACTGGGGGAAAGCATTGTGCTTCAGTTTATCCTGCAGGGCTCGCTAATTATCACTCTCAGCAACCATTAACTGCCAGCAGGACCTCAGAGAGAAGACTCTCAAGCGCCCCACCCCCACAAACTGTGGACTCTCAGGCCAGGCTTTATTTGGTAGCTCAGAGAGACTGTTTTTCAATTCTCCTGCCTCAGGCTCCCAAGCAGCTTACATGTTGAATGACATACTTGTGGAAATTCTCTAAGAAATATCCCTGAGTTTTATGGAAAAAATAACTTTTTCCTTAAATGACTAACAATTGTCTTTCTTTTGCCATCTTATAACCTAATGGAGTGCCAAATCAACCCTCACACATTTAGCATATCTTCATAAGAATATGGAATTTTAATAATTTTTTTCTTACGTGTACATTTTGTTACACAAGTCAACCTTCAATAGCACTGTGTCATAAGAAGCCTGGGTTTTGTTCTTAGAACCTCAGACCAGTTTTAAAAAGAGAAAAAAATAAGTTGTATGAAATGTCTTTTATACCAAAACTCAACTACCTGGAGCTAGCTAAAATATTCTGTATACATTCAAACATTTGACAACCAGAATTAAACATTTTCAACATTAAAGTACATTTTTCTTTCTTTAAAAAAATGATCCAGTGTATTTTTTAGAATTTATTTATTTTATGTGCATTGGTGTTTTGTCTGCATGTTTGTCTGTGTGAGGGTGTCAAAACCTCTGGAACTAGCCTGCCATGTGGGTGCAGGTCCTCTGGAAGAAGAGTCAATGCTCTTAACCACAGAGCCATCTCTCCCAAGACTAAAGTACATTTTCCTTATGGTATATGCCTTTAATTATGGCACTTGGGAGGCAGAGGCAGGTGGGTCTCTGTAAATTCAAGGATAGCCTGGTCTACACAGTGAGTTCTAGCTAGCCAGACATTGATATGAAATACTACCTTTTGCTTTGAGTTATGGGGAGACCAGGGAGATCCGCTTTGCCATGGACATCAAATCATATGAACCTCTTCAGCCCCTCTCCACTCTCAGGCCTCTGAATAAAATGGTTTGATACCCCCAAATATGCATTTAAAAATGTATTTAAATTTATCATATGTGCATTGGTGTGAGGGTGTCAGATCCCCAGGAACTGGAGTTATAGACAGTTGTAAACTGCTGGGAATTGAACCCAGATCCTCTGGAAGAGCAGCCAGTGCTCTTAACCACTGAGCCATCTCTCTAGCTCCCCAAATATGATTTTAAAAGAATATTTATCAGTACGTATTTGTACTTGAGTATGTGCATGTGCATTCAATCCCCTGTGACTTCAGTTACAAATGGTTGTTAGCCTCCATTTGGGTGCTAAGAATCAAACTGAGGTGCTTTTTTGTTTTGCTTTTTCGAGACAGGATTTCTCTGTAGCTTTGGAGCCTGTTCTGGAACTCACTCCGTAGACCAGGCTAGCCTCTAACTCACAGAGATCCACCTGTTTCTTCCTTGCAAGTGCTGGGATTAAAGGTGTCTGCCACCAATGCCCCCTCAAACTTAGGCGATCTTAACTCATTGAGTCATCTCTTCAGCCCCCAAAATACATTTTAAGGTTAAATTCTTAAGCCCATAATAGTCAAGATGTGTGCCATATAGAAAAACATATGGTGGTGGTGGCACACACTTTAGGCAGAGGCAGGTGGATCTCTGTGAGTTCAAGGCCACCCTGGTCTACAGAGTGAGTTCCGGGACAGCCAGTGCTACACACAGAGAAACCCTGTGTCAAAACAACAAAACACACACACACACACACACACACACACACACACACACACACATATACACAGATATAGCCATTATCAGACAAAACCAGACTGGGCACTTAAAAACATGTTCCACATATAAAATCTTGTGATCTTGTGTCTTCTGAGTTCAACTCATTACCTCAAAAACATTCATTATACTTTACAGTGGGCACTTATTACAGTGAGGTGAAGTTATTATTGGTATTCTTTTAAGCTACCTTTATTTATAAAGGTAACTATATGCATACAGGGAAAATATAAACAGTATTTTTCCCATTCCCTTCTGTAATATATTATGTACACACACACACACACACACACACACACACACACACACACACTTTTATTGTTTTTTGTTTGTTTGCTGGTTTGTTTTTGTGAGATGAGATTGTTTTAGTTGTAACCCAGGCTAGTCTTGAACTCACAGCCATTTGCCAACCTCAGACTCCTGGAGACTGGGATTATAGATGTGAGACACCACACCTGGCTGTTTCCTTCTTTTGATCATGGAAACACCCCAGGGTACAAATAATACTATAGCAGATAGGCACTTGTGGAAGTTTTGTTATCCAGTGAGTGGGACTTTCCTTGAAAATAAGAGATCATTTGTTCAGGAGATGATGAATGCCCCTGAAGCAAGCATTAAGAATATATGGGACAAAGAAAACAATTTAGGGCTTGGGGTTTACTATGATGATTTGTATAGATGCCTTATCCTGCACTCCCACAGTTTTGGAGTTAAGAATTCAAGACTCTTTCAGTACTGGGGAGGCAAGTGGAGCTCTGTGAGTTCCAGACCAGCCTGGTCTACAAGAGCTAGCTCCAGGACAGCCTCCAAAACCACAGAGAAACCCTGTCTCAAAAAACAAAAACCAACAAACAAAAAGAATTCAAGACTCAAGCTGAATGCTAGTGATTGTAACTAAGGTCTCATGCCAAATGTCTGTATGTTGTACCACTGAGTTACTCAGCCTGGTAGACTAACCTCATTATCCCTCAAAATTCAGGGGTTTGCATCGCAGCAGTATGAAGCTTTGCAAGATAGAAGAGTAAGCATCATAACATTGATTTTTTGTGGTTATAAACATTAAAATATAAATTATTATCCCCCAAAAGGTAGGTGAGTCAGGAGGATCATGCGATTGAGGCCAGTTGAGGCCATACAGGCCACTATATAAAGAAACATAAAAAGACACAGGTATAGATGTGAACACTTTTACTTCCAACATTTGGAAACCAGAGGCAGAAGAATTAGGAGTCCAAAGCCAACCTCACCAATATAGCAAATTCCAAGTCAGCTTGGGCTGTGTGATACTCTGTCCTAAAACAAAACAAGAACCATAAAAATAAAAAGGACAGATAATTAAGGACCATAATCCACTATTTAGGTAAACTCTCTAGAAGATAAATGTAATACATATAAAGAATAAAAACCGAAGACTGACACTTAAAACATTTGACCCTTTAGCCTCTCAACTCAGACTTCATCAGTCATGGTTATGGACCATTGGGAGGCAGATTTATAAAGTGAAAGAACCAGGAAATTGATGGCAAGCATTCACTCACTATGCAGTTGCTGGGCCCCATACATACTTCTGCTCACTTCATCAATAATATTCACAACCACACCCTCACCCACCCCACCCCATCCCACCCCATCCCACCCCACCCCACCCTTACCCCCCACACCCTCACCCCACCCCTGCTTTAATGCTTGATCTTACATCGGGTTCAGGGCTTTTGTCTCACAAGCATGGCCAGTTTAATTTAAGTCAGCTGTTCCCCCTGACTTCACACTAGAACCACCTGGGGAGGTTTGTGGGTTTTTTTTTTTTTTAATCTTGGGCTGGTAGGGCATTTGTCTAGCATGTATGAAACCCTAGGTTTCATTCCCAGTAGCACACAAGAACTTTTCAGCCATGATGGACTCTCAGACTGAACAAGAACAAACCCTTCCTTACTTAAGATGCTTGTGTTTTGTGTGTGTGTGTGTGTGTGTGTGTGTGTGTGTGTGTGTGTGTGTTACCACAGCAATGAAGACAGTAACTAATACGAAGAACAGGCTTGCATGCAATTCAGACATGAAGAAGGAACATAGCAAGATATATACATATCAGCTAAGAGTGGTATTTGTTCATTCCC